AACCACGCTAGATTCTTTTAAAAAACGTGACTAGATATAATTGTTTTCACAATTTACTTGATCTTGAAGTTCACTTAATTTTGGCTTTCAGTTGAATATAGAAAATAGGGGGTGATTCTTATAATGTTTACTATGGGAAGATACATATAAAAAGGTTTTTGAATGATTTCATTTTTCGCACATATTGATTTTGATTTTGCTAGAGAATGAAAATGATGATGAAGATATTAAATATAGTTTTAAAAGTCATGTGTGTGGAAGAGTGGTGAGTTTTCCTTTTCATTTCCTATTATTATATAGTTCAGACTCTCCCTCTCTATATATCTTTTTCAAATTTTCAATCGTTCATAAAATACTTTTTATTCATCCACTCAAGTTCAAATACATTTTTTTAAACTTATAGTGGTTGACACACACTTGAAGTTAATACAGTTTTTCAAATATTAATTCATTAATTAAATTAAAAAATGAATAAATAATAAACAAAATTAATAATCCAACAGCATATGTAGAAAGGGAATAGCTTATTGTGTCCCTGTAGTATAATGGCTAGTGCGTTGGACATCTATTCCAAATGTTGTGGGTTCGAATCCTACCGGAAATGCCTAATTTCTGAGAATTTCTTTCATACTATACTATTTTATTAGAATAATAATTAAATTTAATTAATGAATAAATAGTAACAAACAAAACACACACACACAAAGTCCAACACTCTACATAAAATGGAAAATAGCAAGGAAAATCGCTTTCTCTACTTTGTCCCTTAATATTGTGATTCTGTCATATGTATATGCATATTTATATCAATTGTAACTATTTAGTAAAATGTAACTAAAATAAAATTTTTCTTTGATGACCTAAGTAGGAATTGACTTAATTTTTTTATGTATTACTTGTCTATTATTAAATCATGAAACATTCGTCGCCAAATTGTTGACTTTAAACTTAGTTCATTAGTATCTAAATGAGTTCTAAATTGATATATATAATGTCATTCAAATACAATACATTTTATTATTCATATATAATACACTATATAATGAAGACTTTAAATCCCAAAAGAGAATGTGGCAATCAAAATTTCTATAAAAAATGTTGAAAAATGTCTTTCCACTCAAATAATTACCTTAGAAAACAAGTTACAATCATACATCTTATTTAAAAAGAAATAGGGAATTTTTAAAATTAAAATTAAAAAGTGAAAAAACACAAACCCCAAAATATACTTGATAAAAAAGAATTTTTAACTGATGTTTGATGCTGCTTAAATTCTTAACGTTGTAGAGCAAAATAACTGATAAAACTTTACAGAAAAAAACAAAAAAAAACAAAAAAAAACACACACACACAAGTAATATAAAAAAAATTTAAGTCAGTTCCTACTTAGATGAATAAGGAAATTTTTTATTTTAGTTAATTTTTATTAAATAATTACAATTAATAAAAATATGTATATTCATATGACAGAATCCCAATATTAAGTGGCAAAATAGAAAGTGATTTTCCATTTTCCTTTCTATATATGGTGCTGGATTATCACTTTTGTTTGTTACTATTTATTCATTAGTTGAATTTAATTATTCTATAATAAAATAGTATTATAAAAAAGGAATCACATTCTCGGAAATCAGACCATCCCAAGCGGGATTCGAACCCATGACTAAAAGTCCAACGCGCTATCCATTGCGCTACAGGGACACAACAAATGCTTTTCATTTTTATATATGGTTTTGGACTATCTTTATTGTTTGTTTCTTTTTACTTATTAATTTAATTAATGAATCAATATTTGAAAAAACTATATTAACATCGAGTGTCATCCACTACAAGTTTTAAAAAAAGGTATTTGAACTTGAGAAGATGAATAAAAAGTATTTTATCATCGATTGAAAATTTGAACAAGATATATATACATATATATATATATATATATATATATATATATATATATATATATATATATATATATATATATATATATATATATATATATGAGAGTGAGAACTAATAGTAGGAATTGAAAAAAAGAGGGGAGAGGAGAAGTCCTACTCGATTACTTTTTTGAGTCTGTATCCAAGCGGTCCTCCCACTTTTTATTCACCTTTCTATATTTAGATCCTCTGGCAAAAAGATTTAGTTCATGCGATTTTGTAATAATTAGTTTTCTAATAATATACCATCGAAATCTATGATTTTCATGCAACGAAAAAACAAGGATATTGTATAGAGTCAAAAATAATTTTTTTTCTTAAAAGAATCTATTTTCCATTTCCTCTATCTTGATTGTTACCTTTCATATTCTCTAAATAACATATGAAAGTTATCTAGATAAATATTTAAAACTTCGTCATTCACTCCGAATTCGATTTTTATAATTGTTTTCTTCAGAATATATCAAATCAAGGGCTTTATAACCATTAGAATAAAGGCATAAATTATTAAAAAAGGAAATGAGAAATTATTTAATAAAAGCCGCCAACAATTTTATGAGTATTAATAGAAGTATTCTCGGTAACAGTAAATGTTTACATTATAATAAGAGATAATTGATAACTAATTTTTATCTAATTATCTTTTCTTGGTTCAGATTAAGAAATAGATGCAAAAAAGTATGATTAATCAAAAATGAAATACACATTGTTTTTACTGTTTTTTTTGTTGTTGTTGTTGTAATATTTAAATGTAACTTGTGATCATGTTTGATGTGTAATATTATTTTTAACATCATCATAAGCTTTATCGATAAATATTGAACAATACAGATCAGAAAAAAAGTGTTGGGTGAAAACACTCCCCATTTATAAAGGAATAATGAAAATAAATGAATTGTCATGAACATTAAAAAAAGGTATGAATAAATTCCATAAATCTTAACGGGCTCTTTGGTAAATGAAAGACTCGGAGAATATTTTGTATTTTTCAGGATAAAAATATAAAAAAAATCCATCAAGATATAAAATAAGTACATTTGCAATATATCAATGCAAAATACCGGAGTATGAAATCTCAATATGGAACAATTAGGAAAGGAGGAAATATGCGGCAGACAGAGGATAAATGTAGTAAAAATTGTGCTACTATTTTCTAATAAATAATGTTAAAATGATTGAATGTCTATCGTAGTGCCTGAAGTGAATGTTATAAAGAAAGTAATAAAGCATTGAATGGAGGAAATTAGCTGTATACAATCGATTTTAATAGATTTCAATGTTGATATTTTTATTATTATCAAACTACAATTTATTTATCTACGCATCCCCCCATTCATATAAATATATGCATATAGTGTGTGTGTGTACATATGTGTATACACAGTAAAATGTGTCGTATAAAGCTTAACACAAAAACACACACACACACACACACACAAGTAATATAAAAAAAAATTTAAGTCAATTCCTACTTAGATCAACAAAGAAAATTTTATTTTTTAGCTACTTTTTATTAAATAGTTACAATTAATATAAATATGCATATACATATGACAGAATCACAGTATTAAGTGGTAATTATTTTTATATATTATCATTATAGTATCGTATTGTCATCCGAAACAATCGTGTATATAAAATTTCGAGTAACGTCGCGGGGATATGGATCAAAGCTGATCCTCCTCCCCCTGTCTGAAAAGTGTTGGGGCTTGAAGAGTGGGGAGACCGGAGTGTGAGTGAGTGAGTGAATTTGGGGTTTTATGGCGCAAGAGCCAAAATTGGCTAAACTGCGCCACGAGACCGGAGTAGAAAGTATGAATTTCCTCGAAAAGATCAATATAAAATTTCAGTTCAACTGAATGCTTTAAAACGTGAGAAAAAAAAAAAACCTTTTCAAGTTTTGACACAAGTCGCCAAAAATGATGCCAACGTGGCTGTATTTGTAATTCCTTAAATAATTAGTTTTAATCAACTAATTTTTATTAATTATTATTAAATTACTGTACTGTCATCCAAAATAATCATGTATATAAAATTTCAGCTCAATTGAGTGCTTTAAAATGTATTTATTAACGATTAAAAATTCCGCGAAGTTAAATAAATAAATAAATATATAGAGAGTGTGAGGTAACAGTACGAATTGAATAAGATCGAAATTTAGAGAAGCGCGTAATACGCCGGGTATAAAAATGTTATGTGTTCACTGTTACTAGCCTCTTTCCCCTAATATCTACTTTAATTCGCTTTATATTATCAATATCATTAAAATATACTTCTAATGTAAGAAGGTGGAAATTGAACCTTAATAACATCAGAGAAATTTTCAAATTATGTTCCAAGAAGGAAATTTCGTGGGATGAACTATTACAAATCGTTCATTTAATTTTTCTTTGTCTTAGCCCTATTTGTGAAATATTGGGTATGACCTATCGTAAAATCTGGCCTATAACACAAACTTTTAACATAAAAAAAGGATCAAAATTTACAGGTGCGTGTTATAAGCCGGATATAAAAATGATAGCCTTAAAAATAAATAGAAAAAAGATCAGCATATAAAAAAAATTAAACTTCTATATTTATCGAAATGCTGTTTATTTAAAAGAAATAAGACATTCTTATGAATTTCAAGAGTTGTAGTTCTAGATATATACTTTTTTTCAAAAGCCAGGAATAGTACCTCGAATAAATGACTTCAAAACGTATAAGCATTGCATATGCTTATTTTAGGTTTCTTCGTAAAAAATGGAGAGCGTGTTTTCGGCAAATATCCCTAAAAATTAAACAAGTAATATAAAAAAAAATTTAGAGTCAATTCCTACTTTGGTCAACAAAGAAAATTTTTATTTTAGTTACTTTTTATTAAATAATTACAATTAATATAAATATGTATATTCATATGACAGAATCCCAATATTAAGTGGCAAAATAGAAAGTGATTTTCCATTTTCGTTTCTATATATGGTGCTGGATTATCACTTTTGTTTGTTACTATTTATTCATTAGTTGAATTTAATTATTCTAATAAAATAATACAGTAAAAAGAAATCACATTCTCAGAAATTAGACCATCTCTAGTGCGATTCGAACGCACGACCTTTGGATTAGAAGTCCAACGCGCTATCCATTGCGCTACATGGATGCAAGAAGTGATTGTCCTTTTTATATATGGTGTTGAACTAATATTTATGTTGCTCGTTATTCTTTAATTAAAAAGTTAATGAATTAATATTTGAGGAAACTGAATTAACATCCAGTATCATCCACTACAAGTTTCAAGAAATGTATTTGAACTTGAGTGGATGAATAAAAAGTATTTTATTAACAATTGAAAATTTGAACAAGATATATATATATATATATATATAGGAGAGTTGTGAACTAATAGTAGGAATTGAAAAATACACACCGGTGCGCGTTTAAAGGTATATAGTTCCTCATTTAGAGCAATGATTTTCAAATCTAATTGACACAAAATCACATATTTTTTTCTTCTGAGTCAATATTGTTTTTTTAATATAATTGAGATTTGGCTTTTATTGCATGCATACGTGCCACACAACACTTTTCTTTCGATGCCGTACCGAAACAATAGCATTCGAAAGGGGCGGATGCAAAAATACAATGCGGACTTGCACCAGCTTTCCTGAAAGACAGCAATTAACACGCGAGAGGAAATAAAGGCAAAAAGAGAAAGAACAACAAAAGAAAGTCGGTTGTTAATGTAAGTTGGTGAGGAAGAGAATCCGTAGAATTAATTTGCTGTCAAGGGCATTCGGTATACAATGCTTGTTCTGCGATACGGAATCATGCTCTGAAGTGAAATAATGTCCGCCGTTATTAATATTATTATCGCGGGCGTGCATTCCCGCCAGAACTGCAACAGAATAAAAGCAGGTTGCGACTCTTGAAGAAGTTATTCGGCGAGGGACAATAAAAATATATTTTCTTGTCTACGGTTCAAGCTATTTCAATTAAACAAAGCATTAAAATGGCCTCCCGGTTGTGTTGGTAGCGGAGGCAACTTTTATTCGCGCTTTTTGTGTTTGTTGTTATCGTCTTTATTTGTTGTGCTCGCGTGCGCGGCGATGTGCGAGATTGCTGGAAAGTATAGCGGAACAAAATGCATATTAATTACAATCAAAAATAAATTACGCCGTTGAAAGAAAATTTATAGATCGCAATTGCGTTGGGAACGGCGGGGGAAGAGACGGCGGGTTGGCAAGTATAAATAAAAGTGGCGATGCATTTCAGCCGGAAATGATGTATGAGGCTATTTCTGACGTGGAAAAATAATGGAGTTTATCAACAATTTTAGCTATTTTAATTGAAGCGTGCAGCGTCAGCCTGTAAAGATATAGAACCGAGCTGGGCCACTCCATAAATCACGGAATAGACTCAAAAATACGAATTCCAGCGGGGGATTTAATTTTAAACAAATAATAACTTAAAACTATCCTTCGACCTTTGCGTGATGATCTGGTTCCACAAACCCTTCTTTTTTAAAAAAGAGCTCTTGGAAAAGGATAAAAGTTAAGTTCTAGATTTCGACGATAATCGTGCTGCGGTATTTAAGATTTGGTACTTTCTTTCGGCTTTCTTTCCATTCGGGAAGTAATTGGAGTTCGAAACCTGAGGGCCATGGATCCTCAGAATATTGGGTTTAAACAGTCTGCCGAGGGATCAACGCGTTTTGTTATATTTTCTTTCTTGTTGATAACATTATGTAAAACAATTTCTCACTACCTAATATGCTTTAAAGTAACGCTTGATAGAAATAGTGATGAATGATAGCAATAAAAAGGACAAAAAAGATGTTATTTTCTACAAAATTTGATAGGCTAAGATTTACATAAAATCTGAGTAGAATTCCAATTTTCTACTTATATTTTTGCAAAAATGGGAACAATAAACAAAGATAAAAGTATAGAAAGTACATTTTCCGTATCATTTCAAAATTTATTGATTATTGTAAACATGTGACGCCCAATACTATTTGTGGAACCTAGTGGGTGAAGGAATTAGTTTTACGGTAACCCAAGTTTGCGGATTTGATTCCAGTCCCAGTCGGTAGATTTTCACGATGCAAAAAATCGACTGCGTCCATGTCGTATAAGTATACGGCATGTTAAAGAGCCTTAGAGTACTTGTTTGACTTGAGCGCTCTCGGCAAAATTAATTTCCTAATACAATTTCGTGTCGTCAGAATTCAGATACCTTCCTTTAGGGAGGAAACTGGGTGTCAAAATTACATTGTGGCAATTCGTATCAACCTATATAGTGCCCCACTAAAATGTGATACTAGCTCCCGGGGAATTAACAAGGTCTGTAATGGTATAAATACCAATCCGCAGTCCCATTTGAAAGAAAAAAATATCTTCGGTATCATTTCGAAGTTCATTGCTTATTATGTAAAAATGTATCGTACAATACTATTTGTGAGTATGAACTTTTGGGAAAGTTTAAAATATAGAAATTTAACTTGGCATATAAAATTATGGAATAGAATATCAAATTATAAAAAACATAAAAACGTTCAAATTAATTTTCTGGTTATATTTAACACATACTATAAATTATTATACACTAGGCTCTTTTCTATTTTTTCACATAAAATAATTACTATAAATGCTTTAGATATTTTTTAGTAATAAAGCATGAGAAATATGGAGAATTATCGTAGCCATAGCACACTAGCTAGAAATTTTCAATTAAGCAGCTAAAAAAAATTATAATCAATACATTTATATAAAAATTATTTCTACTACCTGATGGCGTGACTTACATTTCTGCTACAAAGATACCTTATATATACGTATTTATTTTTTTTTTCAATTTTTTCGTTCTTTTACTTATTTTTTCGTTACCGAATTTCCTTTAATTTAAAAACAAAATATGACTTCCTCAAAAATTGTATTGGTTAAAATTTTGATGTAAGAGCACGTTAAGAAAACCTGCTTTAGGATTTTCAGAATAGCAAAAGTTTGTAATTGTTGCTTCAAAATTTAAAAAATGATCCATTTGTGTGATACCCCCCTGGCCGGGGGTATCATCTCTTCATCCAAGGGACCTAGATTTGTAGGGATAAAAGATTAACCACTCGAACCGTCCATAATAAATCTAGTTTATTATATCTCAATATATATTAAGCAATGCAACACAAGTCTTACTTACAGAAAAACAATCAGAAGTGATATGACGTAATTAACAATTCTTAGCAAATAGGGCATTAAATCCTACTCACTATCTTTATGATAAATTAACCTCCGAATCTTTATCTATAGCTCTGATTCCTTAACCAGCTAGAATCCGCTCTATAATTAAACTTTAATAATCTATCGCTTACCGATATTCCACGGTGATCAGCAACCAAGCTTTATATCTTCTATATATTATTCTTATCCGACTTGATCCAGCTTCCATTCAATTTCTGGCTTCTAACCGACTTCTATATGGCTCCTATAATACTTTACGGCCTCCAGTCGACCTCCTCGCAAATGCAAAAGCTCCAATATATATGATCATTACTAATCTGCATATCGTGTTTTCTTCTTGAGAAGGTTGGAATGAAATGCCATTATGGCCCCAAAGATTTTCCAAGAGGATTAATTGAAGGCGCAATAAAGCCCTGTCACACATTTTTATTGAATTTCCTCAAGGGCTGCGTTTAAAATTCTCGTCATATGTAATAGTCGCGGTCGTGGAATCGTTGTGGTCCCGAACTCGTCACCGGTGTTGTTTCTGCCAATTGTGGTTTCGAGTCATTTTGTTATTAAAATCCCGCCGTTTAGATGGGCTGCTGTTTTGTCAAGGCTCAAATTCATCACTAAGATGCAGTGGAGAAGTTTGGAGAGTGAAGTTGGCATTCCGCTGTCCTCCTCAGCACTTGAAGGTGTTTTAATATTGCGAGATGTACCATTAGTACCCTTATATTGCTTTTTAATGCAACGCTAATAAACAATCCATCAATCTTATCAGGGGTAATTTGAAGTTATTCGAGATAGTAAGCATTAAATATTTAAAAATATAATTGCTGTAAATGATTGTTTTTGTTTACAATTTTTTTTTCATAAATATTTCAATATTATACCGGATAGTGTCAGATAAATATAGCGGGTGTTTTTTTTTTTTTTTTTTTTTTTTGGTTTTTTGCATTCCTTTTTTATTGGCATTAATGTTATTTTAATTCATTTCTTTTTTTGTACAGATACGTAACTGAGATAGTTTAGTGATCATGGTCATGAACTCGTGGCGATGTTGTCAGGTCGGGGTTCGAACCCTGACGCGCAGAGGGGCTGAAATAAGAGAGACAGAAAATAGACTTAACAGAGGTTAAATCTGTCGTAGATCTAAGTCTTCACGTTGCCGTAGTATGGAAGTTAAAAGAGTGGGGTGCCGGCTGATGCGTCGTCCTCATCACTTGACTGCTGTTCAAAATTACGAAGTCCGTTGCCAAACCTCACGTGTTGCTTTAGAGTACGACGTTAATAACTGACTCACTTTGAAATAGATACGACAGAAGAATTTCAACGAAACAGTGAAATATAGTATAAAATAATAAGTTTTGTTTATTTCACAATTCTATACAACAATACAGAGAGGGCGCTACTACACTAATTGATCAATAGGTTGTGTAGCTTCCACATAGGAGACGCTCGTTAAATCTGTGTCGAGGCTCAAAAGCCTCCCTTTGGCATGGTGTGGAAGTTTGGGAGAGGGTGATGGACTAGTTCAGGTATCATCCTCGTCACTTGACCGAGGTTCAAAATTACATGGTCTTTCGTCCCAATAGTCCTCTCGTCAAATTAAAATCCTCTCCCACATGGGTGACAAAACAGACGCCAAAACTTTGAGGAATAAAATCAATGATTCTGCTAATTTTGATGTGAAGGATAAACTATCATTCGTTTTCAACCATTTCACACGATTTATTTTCCAAGCGCGGTGGACGCAGTGTATGCCAATGACTATAAATCACATCCAAAATGTGTTTGATGGGGGGAAAGATCAGGGGTCTTCGGTGATCCGAGAAGCTCCTGGACTTGTTGGTTGATGTGTGCCACGTGCAGTCGGGCATTATCTTGTTGATACGAGTAAATATAGCATTGATTGTTTTCTGAAGAAAAAGATTGGTCTTCGGCA